GAAGATAACTCATTTTCAAATTCAAAATCAGGTAATAATTTAAAAAGAAAACTTTATGTACGATAACATTATTTTGCAATGAAGCTCTGAGCGATGGCGATTACTGTGTGAAATAATATAAAATATTGTTGAATTCTTGTTCATTTGTCAAACTGGATAAATTAGGTAATTTACCTTTTTTTCTTAATAAATAATTAAAAATTGAGAGTCAGAAAACTAAAAAGTTATAACAATTCTTTGAAGTTCTATTTGACTTATAAGTACTTTTAAAATATATTATGACGTCATCGTTGTATATAAATTCACATTTTAAACTTATAGTATAATAATTTTGTTATTAACTTATACATCTTTAAATACCATATAAAATAACCAAAGAAACAGGCACTTCTTCTACCTGTACAGACCATAATCAGAATATTAGTGAGAAAAAATCTAAAAATGGATAAGTAATATTTTGAAATGTAGGTACCTAGGTAGGTGTCATTTGTTTGAAATTACTTAATAGTTTCAAAGTGAAAATATGATTTTGCCAAGAAAATATTGCCAGAAATTATTATTTAGCTCGCGGACTCATTTAATTTATTATAGTCCAATAAAACTATTAACTGGAATATAATAATTGGCACACATATTTCGTTAATGACTTCATCATACATAATTCCGTTAGTAAAGTGACAGGCGAAACTATTTTCTATCCAACCATGTAATATCCCTCATAAATTATTTTAATAACAATACAACAGTCATATTACATAAATAAACCTTTTATTTTCAGAAACTCGCAGCTTTTCTGCTGGATCTACACGGTTTAGTTTAACGCCATCTATCTTGCCAAGTGTGAACTACGTGGTCGAGTTGTTAGCTAAACGTCGTGTTTTCTCACCTCGTATGTATACAGTCGATGGGGTTGCCCACCAGGTGGCGCGTTGTTAAGGCTGCGCTAGCCGCTAACAACGCCGCGGTAGTTGCACCGCAGTGCAGTCGGAATGCTACGGAATCAATCTTCGGGTTCACCCCTTGCTGTACAAAGAAAAATATCACATAGAAACGAAGACGCAAGGCTTAAATTGCAATTTTTATTTTATCGCTATTTGATTTTAAAACATTCAGAGATAACATCGGCGCAAATTGGGAAAGCACTTTGTAGCCTAAGTCGTGGAATTCAAAAGAGAATTTTATATTATTTAAGGACTGAAGACAAATTGATTGCTTTATTTAAAAACATTTATTCTTGAAAATATTTGTTAGTCATAGATTCTAAATTGTTATCCTGCACAGTTATGACAAATAAATGTTTACATGAATGTTAAGCAGATAGGCGAGCGGTCGCAAGTTCGAGGTTTGATTCCTGGGTTAAGTGTGCATTAATTAACAGCACGGAGTTTCGAATACTGCTTAGTTTATAAATACCTACTAGGTTGATTCCTATTGTTATCTACCTAGAGTTCTGATGACTAATAGATGAAATTACTATAATGTCCACATACCTACCAATGAGGCAGTCTAAATCTATACAATGATAAGATAAAGTTGAAGAGTTTGTTTGTCTGCTTGAATACGCTAAACTCCGAAAGTACTGGTTTGAATTGAACTTTTTTTTAACGATCTTTCGAAAAGCTACGTTCTTAAACATCACTCTATGTCCTAAGAAGCCGAACAAAGTGTGGAGTACCTAGCTAGTACAAAAAAATAATAATAGAAAATCTCTGATACGCGAGCTAACATCACAACGTAACGTAAACGTACTTAAGCGACGTTACAACAAGATTAGTCCCGTAGTCCCGTAGCGCCCTCTACTGGTCTTACGTATGCTAATTAGTGTCGTCGGGACTAGCAAAGGTAAACACCTACTTATGTTGCCTAAGCACGTCCCTAGCGTTAGCCATGTTTTTTCAGCACTTAGTTATATGCATAAGATAGATGTCTGAATATTCTCTGAAACTATATTTTTATTATAACTTTCTTGAGACATTAGCTTAGCAGCGCGACAGTCGCCGAGTCGCGTGTCGCGGAATGCTGCTCATAAATATGGGCCTCTAGCACGGCTTGAAACTAGTCGAGTATCTCGTCCAATTATTACGTGAATAAGCCAAAAACATAATAATAAATTCTCTGAAACTATTTGTAGGTAATTGGATAGTTTAGTAGGTCAAAAATAAATTAATTCGACGTTTCAATACAATAAAATATTGAAAAATAACTATAATTTTAATTATCGATCGATTGATACACTAAAATTTAGATATTGTTTGCTAATTGTTAAAAAATAAGTGAACTTATTTGACGGAAAAATTCTATGACGTCTAACTCAGTTTCCCATACAAAATCCATGGAAAAGTATCGTTTTTGACATTTGGATAAAAGTATTGAATTTGACTAGTTGGACACTACCGTATTGTTTACCTTTGGCTATATATTGGCTGTATATTGCTGTGGATTACATTTTTATGGAACAGAAGGAAAACTGTAAGACCACCTGATGTTAAGTGACCATCGCCAATGGACACCTGCAACACGAGAGGAGCCACAGGCGCGTAGCGGTCTTTTAAAAAGGAGTAAGCACGTTTCTTGAAGGTTTGGAGGTCCTATCGGTTCGGAAATATCACCGCCAAAAGATCATTCCAAAGTTTTGCTATGTGAGGTAGAAAATTGTTAACTGTCAACCATTTATGTAATGGGGATGATAATTTTGTCCTTATTCTTTCATTTTTGTACTAAATTAGTCTAACCATGCAGGTTGAGGCTGAATGTATTTGATAATACCTGTTGGTGCCCAACAAGGGCTTTAAGCTTTAGGTAATTAGTGTTAGGTCTAAGATTCGTCATCGATACATATAGAAGGGTTAACGACAGGAACAAGTACGAATAAATATGGTTTGTATTGTACTATCGTCACCAATAGTTAACCTGCTATAAGATTAAGATACTGTAATCTGAAAGTATTAGTTTTCAACGCACCCCTCCGGACAGCAGCGCATAGATGCTGGTGAGGATCTCCATGGGCCTCCGCGGCTGCGGGGCGCGCTCGCGCCGCCGCCACGCGCCCGCGCCGCTCCCGCCGGCCGCGGACACGCCGCTTGTGCGCGCGCCTGCGCAGCGACCGCGACGGCCCCACGACACGCACGAGTCCCTGGGGAAGAAACTCTCACTGAGTTCATACACTTACAGACATATCATGTAAGAGTTGGCGCCTTACGTCTATATGAGGTAAGTACTTATCATAACTCATTTATAAACAGATAATTTTCTTTTGAACCCTTTTTGAAATGTTTAGTTAAGGAATAAATGAGTGGTTATTTTTTTCAAAAATAATTAAGCAGTCAAATAAAATGGCAACATTTTTGTGCCTAACATTAACATAATTAGCCTAACGCTAACATAGGTACAAAAAGAGAAATCAATGAACAATTTTAACTAATCAAAAACAAAAGACACACGCTAAAAAATGATGAAACTTGTTAATCAGTTTTATATCTTCAATATAATTGTAGGTCATCAGATTGCAGTGATTTGTGTTGACATACCATTATATAATAACACCATGTTATAAATTCAATAAAACCTTACGAAAATGCTGTTTTGTTGTCACATTACCGTTTAAAACTTTTAATACCGCACAAAATAACAAAACTTTTGAAGTCAAAAAGTTAATTAACTATGCATCTCAATGTAGCAGACACAATACCACAACAAGAAACAGAGAAAAATCTGGAAACAGAGTAAACAGAGGGACGAACTATACAATAAATTGAATAAACTCACCGCGAGCGTAACGAGCTCCCTAACCCAGTCACCGATAGAACAAATAACAGTGCACCAAAACAATACACCAGTAGCTACAGACGCTTCAATGAAACAGTCTCTACGTCGGAAGCGCACGCGCCGATTTAACACGTGTTGCAAACTAAATGTAGATAATTTAGCTAAAATCGACTCATTGTGTTCCGCGGCATAAAGGTTCGGGCACATCTACAAAAGATTAGGGTTTCGCTGAAGATGTAAGAATAGACTTTCAATTAATAGATGGCCAAGGCCATTTGTTTTTCGTCAATTTCTTTCGGAGAGATTTGTTGTATTTTTTTTAGTTGTTTTTTTTAATGTGAGCGTTCTACAATATATGCGATACAGCGCATTCAGTGCTTAGTATGAGCCATATATTGCTTTGTTTGTTAACTACCTTATTTAGCGCTGATTTTTCGATGATTTGATAAAAGTATTTGGGGTGTAATTATGATGCTGTCGCGTCAGAATGTTTGCATAAGACTGTGCCAGCAAAAATTTTATTAATTAATTATTATGTTTTCGGCTTACTCACGTAATGATTTGACGACATACTCGACTAGCGACACGCGACGCTTCGACTGTCGCGGAATGCTGCTCATGAATATGAGTGAGTAAGCCGAAAATATAATAAATAATTTAGAATGTCTCACGAAAGTTATAATAACATCAAACTACATTCTACAAGTCCCTACGTAATGTCAATTAAAATTTACAACAAACTACCCGACTCAATAAAAGAAGAAAAAAAGTTAAACATATTCGTAAATAAATTAAAAAAATATCTTATAAAAAAATGTTACTATACTATAAATGAATATCTTACAGATAAAACAAATAATTAAATTGAATATAATAAAAAATATTTATAATAACCCATATATATAACTATAATTACAAATGTACATGATGTATAAATAAGAAAACCAAGTAAATTAAGTAACCTTAGAATAAACAATACATAAATTGTAGCTCAAGAAAAGAAAGTGATATTAATGATCTCCATAATATATTTTACATATTTTTGAATTTTATTTTAAATATAATTAACATATTTTAAATAGAAATAAGTTACTTTAAATAGAATTAAGTTATTTTAAATAGAATTAAGCTACTTTAAATAGAATTAAGCTACTTTAAGATATTGAAACAGAGCTTCCTCTCTCCTGTTTGCCTTATTTTGCTGTGCCCTACAGGGTCCATAATTGATCTCACACAAATGGTTACCACCTTTATATGTACTTATGGAAAAGCAATAAAGATATTGAGTATTGAGTTAAAAACAATTATATTCTTCAGGTAACATTTATCTGATTATTGAAAAATCAGTTCGTACAGAAATAAAACAAAGGTAAGCTAAACTTTGTCGTCATCAAAGGCTTATAATTGTAAGCCTTTAATGTGTTACATTTAAAACTTACAATTTCAGACCTTTAAACGTTAATGATTTCTTTTTAAACTGTTCATAGGTCATCTGAAATTTGTAAAGTCTCCCTTACAAAACTTCCAATTTCGTATTAACAGTTTTCATTTACTGAGGCCTAAATCAAATTAATTTTTTCACTAAAAAATATTTTTGGAAGTGATATTATTAACTACAACTACTTTGTACAAAAATAATTTGATTGAGACGAATGTTGATTGGGTTACGAAAATGACAACAACATCATAAATCATACACAGGATGCGTTAATTGTTAATAGTAAACCTACTTCATAGAAGGGCCTAAAAATAAATACACGTTATCACGTGAAATAAAGATTATTCGAAATGTGTACTTCTTTACAAGTAAACAGTCAAAAATGTAAGTATGAACTTCAACGCTATTAATTCTCATAATCTTAACCACATAGTTGTCTCATTATGATAGAAAAAAAAGCCATTCAGTCGACAATATTTACGAATAAGCTTTGGACGCTCTCCAAATCACCGAAACTTACGTGATGAATGTACTACACTGTGCCTCTTAATCCCAGTTTACGTCTAACGGTGAATTAAATAAATCGCTTCGTATCGTTATCGTCAAATAATCGTACGTCTCAAGACTCAATTTTATAAGCAACGGCATATTATAAAGAAACTTTATGGACCTAACACATAGCCCTGCGGTATCCCTAAATATATTTTAATTTCGAAACTGTTCGATTGAAGTTTCCAGCAAAGTAAGATTTGTTTCCTCAAGCAACAAACCGTATGAGCAACATTTTACCAAGTATTGGTCGGCTTTAAGGTGGTGGTCAAATAAATACAGGTGCTGGCCTTGTCAAACGCTACCCACGATGCGGCCACCCGAGATTGATGGCTGAACAACTGCTGCCGTCTGTTTAGAGATCTTTGTCTGTCTGTATGACTGTGTGAATCACGTGTAAATCTGGAAGTCGGTCAAACGTCCGTTGACTTGTATGATACACTTTTCATTGTTAATGGATATTGTGTTTATTTTTAATATCTTGTTAGCGTGCGGCGTGTTCTATTATTGTTTGTATATTTTTTATATGTTTGGTTTGAACTAATTTTATTGCTCAATGGTAAAATGTTTGTTAGATTATGTCTAGGAGCATTTATTTACATTTTGTGCATTTGTTTACGTTAATGTTCCATTGATGTCGTTTTAGATCGGTTCTATTTGAATTATTTGGTTTACTTATTGTTTGAAATGAAAAATGGTATTATCTTGTTTTATTATTGAGTAATATGTTAGTTGTTGTGTTATAAATTAAGCAATACCTTCTGCCAACAATTCTGTTCGCTCGAACTCCAAAGTCTAGCCGGCCACCTACTTCTTGGCGACAACCAGACGTCTTGCCCATGGGGTGCGCGGGAAGCAGTGCTGCTCTGCGCCTGCATCAAGTTTATTATGTGTTTATCCTTAACGCTTACTTACGAGAACTTCAAAGACGGAGATCATACAGCCATTTTCTTCTGACAAACTGATGACGCGAAAGCGGCGAAAGGAATACTTAAATATGGGTACTATGCTTAAATTTTATCATATATAATATTAAGCTTTATCAATGTGTTAATGACAGTCAAACCTGGTGTTTGTCCATTAATACCTACTGGCTTGTTTCTTAATATTGTGTAAATGATATCTTCCAAATTGAATATTGGTGGATGTTTACCTTCGGTTAGCAATCCTGTGTGCGCGCACTCCTGGGTCGGGTCGGCCGCCAGAGGTCTTTCCCATCGGGCGCACGGAACCCGGCGCCGGTCAGCGCGAGCTCGGCGGCCGCGCCATCCTCGCACCTACCACTGCAGACAAGCAAATATCTATGTTTGGTAACAAACTATTGTGTATGAAATAAAAGTGTGGTCAAATGATGGTTTGAACGTGTGTACGAGTATTCTGTAAGTAATTACTTTCGTCTTTGTTGATTTGATTTGAAATGCTACTTAAGCTAGATTTTTAAACTTTCTGTTAGAAAAAGTTTTGCTCATTGAGATGAAGATAAAGTTTTCATTTAGATAATGATGTCGGTAATGTTTGTGGGTGTGTGTGAACACAAAAATTAAATTTCTTGTTTATATTTAGGTTTTGATATTTTTCCGCGTAATTCGTGCTCAAATCTTAATCTCAATTCAACTATAACAGAATACTCTTTAAATATATAAGACTGAAAATTATACCCTAATACATAACAGTGACTGAAATGAAAACAGTTCTACAAAACCAAGTCGTTCGTAACCCGGAACATATATATCTTTCGGAAATTCCGAGAAATTTCAGCGAAACTACTGAAACACTAGCCTTGTCTGTCGAAATTAGTCCGTCAATCAAATAATATTTAGCCTGTCTAGGCTCAGATTACCTTGTCCATGTGACGTCTGGGGAAAATTTTTGGTAAACGAATATAGCCTTTGTAAGTTACGTTTTAAAGACTATTTTATATTTTGTATGTTAAATGGCCTTTCACTTTGCTGGCGACATTTTGAATCGTTAAATAGTTTAGTTAGCTTCTGGCCGTTTACAGTTTCTAACCATGTGCTGTGTTGTCAAGTCTGTAATTTGCTTCTAGTCTATGTCGATTCAACTAAGTATACATATAAATTCAGTTTGTTCGGGGTCGGGGTGAGATTAATACATACCCAGATTTTTTTGATTTTTTATGTAATTGGTCGGCAAACGAGCAGACGGATTACCTGGTGGTAAGCAATCAGCGCCGCCCATGGACACTCGCAACGGAGGAGTTACGAGTGCGTTGCCGACCTTTTAGGGATTAAGGATTTGGAGATTTATCGAGAAGGGATTGGAGGAGGGGAAGGATTGGGCCTCCGGTAACCTCACTCACAAGGCGAAACACAACGCTGTGGTTGTTTCACGCCGGTTTTCTGTGAGGCCGTGGTATCACTCCGGTCGAGCCGACCCATTCGTGCCGAAACATGAAGTGTGGGAGAACTCCCACACTTAGAGATTGATATATTTTAGTACTATAAATGGGATAACAATTTAAACTAAGGAGGTGAAAAGAATGAGGTTGAGTCGAGCCGCTATGCTATCCGAAAGCATACTAACTATTTTACTTCATCATCAGCCTATAAGTGCCCACTGTTGAGCAAAGGCCACACATGAGGTCTCATACAGAGACGGTTAGAGCATTAATCACCACGCTTGGTCAATGCGGGTTGGCGATGTCAAACTTATAATTAGAAATTATAAATCCAGGTTTCCTCACGATGTTTACCTTCACCGTATGTCATATTTTACTTAGTGATACATAAAATATTCAATACATATAGCGCGGTATCGCAATTACGCTGACTATTCTTATTGTTCGGTAATTGACAGTAACACAGATTGATTAGTCTTTTAAACATATTCGGGATATAAAAAGTACCGTGTGTGTACCTATGTACTTACTCCTCAAAATATTGTTATATAAACATACTTTATTACACTCATGTTTGCTACATGACAAGAATATTGAGAGAACAATGGTCTGTCTTATAAAAAAACGCGATTTGTCCATCACAATGCATACTCATATGTTAAGTGAACTAAACTTATCAATATTGACTACAGTTGGCACGTCGGCTGGGCAACTGGCTGCAGCGCAACGGGTCGCGGGTTCGATTCCCGCACGGAACAACTCTTTTTGTGATCAACAAATTGTAGTTCCGGATCTAGGTGTAGTGTGTATGTTTGTAAACGCACCCTCGATACAGGAGAAATTCCTAGTGTAGGGAAATGTTATTCGTAGCCAACCCTTAAAGCATAGTTTAATTTGAATTTGTGGCTTAGACAAACTAGCAAAGTACCTAAAGCGCCAGGTTATGGAAAGGCGATGAAAATATCATAAAGAAATTTGAGCGCCTATGTGGTGATTGCCTAGGGCGCTTTCTGAAGTTAATCCGTCTCTGACCTATGCTTGCCATATTTTTACTAAAAATATCTCAAAAAAGAATAAAAATAAAAACAAAAGTTTAAAAAATTCAGCATTAATTTTAATCATTTCTTATAAAACTACAAATATCTACAGAGCAATGTTCCTACAGGTCAGTAAAACAAAACACTGTCTCTTCCCCCCGCGGTGAGGTGCAAGGTATCGGGACATCATCACGTCAAATGGAATAGATATATATCCCCGCCATTTAAATAATTGATATTTCCAATACATACAGTGCAATATACGGCAGGAATTTCTTCACCAATGCATATTGATTGGCAAATATCATTTCTAACGTAGATGCTTGGTGATAAGCGGAGCGGGTCGCTAAATAACGCTTGTAATAAAAATAATCTTTAAAATAAAATGCCAGTCTCATATTACTATGAAACCGGTGGTTTTAATCTTCTTTAAAGTTATTTGTCTAGTCCAACACGTCGATTCTATAAAATTTGTTTGATTTTGAATCGTTTTCGAGTGCGAAGTGAGTGTCGAAGTGACGGAGTAATTAAATTTTAGAATGCCACTTTTAACGTCATCTCATACTTTACCTATCAAAATGTTGCTGTCAATTTAGTTCAACTCGCAAGTGTAGCGCAAGTGTACTACTACTCACAGCGGATTCAGATTCGAAATTTAGAATGAAGTCTTACAGAATCACACTGCTGATATTTTCTCCTTTTCCATTTACTAGTCTTAATGTTCCAATGAAAAAAATATTTCAGAATATTATTTTCAATTCCATCTGAAAAACTGTTGAAACAAATCTTCTACTAAAACAAAATTTTCAATTTTCAATGTTCAAATAAATTGATCACATATACCTGACAACCAAAAATAATTATATCAGTTTCATTTATTTTTAATTTTTAATTAGTATGGCACTAATCTCGCCTAATGCGATTTACGATGAAGCACGTCTACCCATTAGCAATCTATTTACTCGAGACTCGAAGACAGGTTAGTTTGTATACCCTTTCGATGTGATAACATTAATAACAAACACTAAATAATAGAGAATCTAGATCTCAACTTGTTCCTAAAATTAGACTATAGATATTTTATTGCGTACTAGACTATTAGATAATTTATGTTTATTTGTGTTTACACGTTTAAAGCGGCTTGGAGTCACGGCCACTTGCCGTGATATATTGAGCTTAAACGATTTGATAGGCAGTAAATACTGATTTATAGAGCTCTGCCAATCGTATGACCTTCCCTTTGGATTCTAAAGAAGGGGAGTAGGCATTGAAAATGGTTTCGGGCCGATTTTAGTTCGATGGTCTTGTTTATATGTATGCTCATATTATAAAGAGGTACAATTTGTAAATTTTTATGTGCGGGGTAATCTTTGGAAACGCTGGTCAGATTTCCAAAATTCTTTCACTGAAAGATAGCTACAATTTTCTTGAGTGCCTGACTAAAAATTATATTTGATTTGTTTATTTAAGTCGAGCTATCGCTTTAAGCAATGTTTTTTTTAATCCCGTGGTACTTTATTTTTTGCAAGCGAAAGCTAGTATGTAAGTATAAACAACAATTTGTGGATCAGTCAAAGTGTTGCTCCGTGCTGGAAACGAATCCGCGACCTGACGACTACGTCAAGTCACTTGGCTTGGCACTTGGCGAAACGACTTGCTCAGCCACCGCGCCAAGCGTGCAGTCAAATATTCATGACATAAAGTTTTTCATCTAAAAACATTCTAACACCATGAACTAATTAATAAACATGATGATACTAAATTTCTCTATTGTAGTTACTTTTTTAAACATAACAAAACAAGTAATAAAATAAACGTAATTGTAGATAACCCTAAGTTTTTGCAGAGATGTTTAATTAAAGGATTGAACTTCTTTCAAACCGAACAGTTTCACTGAAGCGTATATAATATTTCCCAATACATATGTCGATATAACCTAGTTTCCAAACTCGGTGACGTATAGTTTTAATAAATCGCTGAACAAATTAATTGATAAAGATCTCTGACGCTGGCGTGTTCAGTGCGGCCGCCGCCCGCTTCCGCTCCTCCCCTACGCCCCACCCTAAAGTAGTTCCGTGGAAAAGTGCGCGGAAATCGAATGGGATTCCATTCCCGGGTGATTCCGCCGCGGATAAATTTCCAGGACGCGGGAAAACGCTGAAATTTCACGTTTCACTTATCGCCCCTGTGTAATATTAAAGTTTTGTCTAGAATTTCACAATTTTCTGATGTGTTACGTACGTGTAACGCGTAAAATTTTATCTTTCAGTTTTACGACCTGCTTCGGTGTCATACATATTGAGGTTTTTTTGTTATTCTGAGTGCTTATACTCCTTATACCTACAGTGGGCGATCGGGTTCTCGAATTAGTTTTGCAGTCAAATAAATGGCTTTTAGGATTTTAACATCTGTTTGGTTGCCAGTTTCGTAAACTGTACGAGTGTTAAAGCATTTCGACGGAATAGGATTTAGCTGCAGAATTTAAGATTTAGGGCTGTCTAAGTTTTGTATGAATATTTTGTTTCAAACAAATTTTATTGAGGGATTATTATATTCTGTGCAATGTAAATTTATCTGTCACAACTTAAGTACTATTAACGAATTTAAGCCACATTTCAGACTATGAAATCTTTAAATTCCTTGTTTAGCTCTCTTAATAAAACAAGCAATAAATTAACTCCATAATCAGGTTCGCGACCAACTCAATCAAGAGTGACATCAACTGCAATACTAACCAATCGGTCGCCTGCTAGAGAGCCGAGGAGGACATCTAGCATATGGTCATGTAAAAAACAAATGCAAATATTCTCTTTCAATACATGTATATACAGCGTACTACAAGTGGCATAGCAAACGCAATAAATCCCGCGTTTTACGGTAGCTGTAAAAGTATTGCGACACGCGGCCATATTTACCAATACGCCGGCAATACGACACGACTCCGACACGACTATACTACTATTACGTCCGAATAATCTTGTCTATATTGTCTGAACGGGACAGGATATTCGTTTTGTCTCTTTCTTTAGTAGAATAATATCACAAATGACTTCTGATGACTGTCGTCCTGGGTTTGGTGAGAGGGAATTTCAGACTCTTACTGACTAAAAACTTCACCCGCTCCTTCTCCTGCTCTAGGCCGAGGCCTCGGTGCCTTATAATTCTTGCCCCGCAACCCCGGCTGTCCCTGGGTATGACGAGAGGGAATGTCAGACTCTTACTGACTGAAACCCCACTGTTCCAACTCCAGTTTCGGGTCAAGATCATTGTACCTTCAACCCCAGCTGAACATCAGCTCTATTGGGTATCTAGTGGGGGTCTAATGGTTCTTTGAAACGTGACTTACGCTCAAAAACGGAACAAGGTTTAGGTTGCTTATTAGAACCTAAGTTTCAGGTTTATAGTAGCGTTCTTTCTAGTTCTAGTAAGAACTGTCAAGGCTTGTAATAAAATGAATAAGAGACCCAGAATATTTCCTCATTTAATTTGCGTAAGTAGTTATCTAAATATACAAGAGAAAGTCGTGTTAGTTACTCCACTTATAACTCAAGAACGACTGAACCGATTTAGCTGAAAATTGGCAGGGAGGTAGTTCAGAGCCAGAAAAAGGATAAAGGATAGGATAGAGTAGGTAGTGTAGGTTAGGTAGAGTAGGGTAGGTAGGCTAGGTAGAGTAGAGTAGGCAGAGTAGGGTAGGGTAGGTAGAGTAGGATAGATAGAGTAGGGTAGGGTAGGTAGAGTAGGATAGATAGAGTACGGTAGGTAGAGTACGTTAGGTAGAGTAGGGAAGGTAGTGTAGAGTAGGTAGTCAAATGACGGGTGCGACGCCGCGGGTAAGAGCTAGCTTCCAATAAAACATATGGTTAAATATTATTTTTAATTTAAAGTTAAGATTTTGAATAGCTAAAATATTTAGTACCTACGGATAGTGTAGTAGTAATGTAGGTAAATAAATAAATACGGTGCACATATTCTTAAAGAATTTAAACGAAAGCGGTAAAAAAATATTATTCACGTTTTATTTCATTATAATTCCAATAAAACTGCTATACTAACATGAAATCCTGATTTCGCTTCCATTATACAATAAAAATTGTAAATAAATATCAGTTAAAACTTTTGTTTCCTTATTATTCAATTAACACAAAGTTTAAAAAAATTTAAACACAAGAAACAATTCATTAGGTAAATGAAAATAATGTTTTTCATGATGTTATATCTATTGTAGATCCTGGCTTACCAGAATTGCATTGTACTGATGAATCCTTTGTTATTGAGATTTAATGATAACAACCTTAAATCGAATTATGGACTCTAACAAATTAGAATTCAAAAATTGCTCAGGACAACCCTGGACCCTTTATATGCAAGATATACGTGTAACAATGAAACCGACACGTGATCAATCTACGAGGAACGCTTTGCTAAATACAATATTACATTATTGTTCTATAATCGATAAAAAATAGCATACAACGGCATTTTTTTGTGCACTTTAATAATTTTCAATTCCGAGTAGAAAACTGAATTTTTCGAAGCGTATGTTTCTCTCGTAGGCTTTTTTTGCTACAAAAGTTGCAACCCAATGTTGGCTGAATTCAGTGTTCGAGAGAAATAAAAACATAGTTGTATATAGTAGTTTTATTTCTTTTTTCAAACTTTTTGAATATTTGTGCCTATATGTGTGTTGTGTTGCAAAATATAGTCGATAAACAAACATAACGCAGGGAAAAATAGTCATAGTACCCAAAGAAAACTATTAAATGCTCGTAAACTATTAACTCTTAACGCATCCAAAATAGCAATAATTTTATTTTATTTCAGTATATTCTCAGTTGGAGTTGCACATACGTCGGGACATACATACAAGTCACTAAAACTCGCCTCGATTTTATTAACAATCACGTTTTACGAGAGCGGCCGCAAAGTTGCAGTCACTAGTCGCCTCAAGTAGCTACGTGCCTGCACCACATACTACATCGTGAATAAAAAAATACAAAGTTATATATTCTCTGTGAAGGCATTTTTAGTGAAAAATAAAATGGGATATGGACAGTTAGAGTGAATGTTGCGGGGAATGGCCGCCTTGTTCGCAGTGGCGGTGCTGGGCGCCGCCGCCGCCGCCTCCAACGTCGAGGTAAAATGATATTGTTTTGTTCCACCACCATTACAAAACGGCTCCGGAAATTTGGCAACAATGCATGTTCTGATAACGAATGCATACAGATGTAAATGTAGCCAAGATAAAAAAACTGTACGATTTTATTTGCAAGTTCCCTTTTTTGTTACACTTTATGAGATCTAAATTGCTTGGTTTTGTGCCGCAGCGTGTTCTTAAAAACATTTTATTTATTTTAATCGCTGCGCTGGTGTCTATTGTTTGTGGGAAGTGGAACAAAGGGGATATTTTTTCCTATATTCGCTGAATAAAGCTTTTGAAATTAAGTAATGTTATGTGATGTGCAGCCGAGCGGTCACTGGGAATTAACGACGACGGCAAATAGCGGACTATCAGCGATATTCGTTGTGCTTTTTAAAGCAGAAACTACAAATTTTTTGCTGCTCTCAGTAATAAAGCCGCACTATAATACAGTAACTTGAATGTTCATAGTTGCGAGAATTGATATCACACTGCCTAAATAAGCTATGCCAACTCTTTTATCCCATTTCAGTTGGTAATTATTAACTGGATTAATCTAAATTACTTACTTTTGCCTTGAATCTTTAACAAAAGTTTACACATATATATATGACCTCTATGAAGAATAAAAACAACAACAGAGAACACATTCTCTATTTAAACCATTGTTTCTTGCTAATTTAATAACCTTTTTTGTTATCTCCATGTTCACTTGCTGCATGGGTGGTCGTTTAATATGTTAATGTGTTAAAATGATTTTTAATAGTGAGGATCGTTGTTAGAAAATTATCGCCGAATTGGAGAATATTATAAATCTAGCGAAACTACTAGGCATCCAAAACCTTGGTACTTAATCTTGCTCGATCCCAAAGTTAAAGCCACTTAAGAAGTATAGATCTCCGTCCACCGTAAGCGCAGGTCTGCGGACGGGGAGCAAGTGTAGCTCGCCGCCCGACCAGAACCAGACCCGAGCGTAGGTCGTGAAGCATTCTGTGCGCGCTTGATTGCCTCGGCTTGGAGTAGGAAGGCCTGGAGATCTACTCAACCAACGACCACCCACTAACTAATTCCAATATAATTAAAGACCTTCTTCCAAGAGAACCGTCGCCTGGCAAAAGCGACGGTGGAAGCACTCCAAGACTCCAAGTTTGACGAAGAGCTACTGTTCGACCTGAAGAAGGAAAACCAGGTGTACCTGAACCGGACCATGTCGCTGGTCATCAAATATATTGTCAAACGGTATGTTTTTTTGTCTTTATCTTTTTTTAAGTTTAATTCTAAGTCTCTAAAAATACTCTGATGATAAATGACAATTCTTTTTATCGAGCAACCAGTATGTGGTGTAGCTATTTAGAAATTTATTATAGGATAAAGTCACGTATTTAAAAACTATATTTACTTAGAACAAGTATTATCAGGTACGCTAGTCCCGGGACTATTAAACAGAGGCATTTTTATGAATGAAAAATCATACAGCGCAGCATTTGCGGTAAACTAAAAGTGTATACAAAATTACAACTCGATCGGTAGGAGATATCTACTATAAAATTTACTTTCAAGAAACAAGATAAACGTAGAAAAAAAAGAAGCGTTCCTCAGTTACATGAAGAAAAAAATATTAAACACTTTTTTATCGTATAAGAAAACAATACCTAGCCTACAAAAAATTACGGTGCGACTAGGAGATTTCTATGTCAGAGCTAAGTACCTCTATAAAATGTGCTGAATCGTGACAAAACATGATGTTTCAACTCAATATGTATAGTCGGTGACGGTCGATTAATCACAATATCAACCTATAAGTGCTTACTGCTAAGCAAAGGCTTCATCTCATACGGAGAAGGTTTCAGCATTAATCACCACGATTGCTAAAAGCAGATTGTCGATTTCCAACTTAAAATTAGAAATTATAAATCCAGGTTTCCTCATGATGTTTCCCTTCGCCGTCGGCCGTGTCGGTGGTGTCGAATGATCATATAAAGTACATATCACTGGGAAAAGTCACATTGGTACCTGCCACGTTTTGCACTCTTATACATGAGAAGCCGGGCCTCCACGACGGTTCATTAATGTTATGCTCAAATTTTTTTACGTAATATTGTAATATTTATAATTGCCGGCCGAATAAACAAACCTTCAAGTCTATGTATCGACCGGTTTTTTGAGATCTCCGATAGCATTTTTCATTTTCATGTTCATATTAATAGTGCAGTGATCTATCTAATATACATAGATACAACGGAGAATCGGATACTAGTATACCTGTTATCAATGCAGATATTGTATATCCCTCCCCAATCCCATCATAGAGATACAGCGCAGTATCTGTATCCCCCATAACAATGACGGCAAGTTATCTATGACGATGTTAACGTTATATTTCAAGTTCGGTTGCCATGGCAACGGTAACGTTATAGCTTACAGGCTTACGATAGGTGCGTAGTTTTCGCACTAGTTACGTGTAAAATATTGGTATTGGTACACATCTGGGAATTCTAGGACCGTACGGTATGGTTGTGGAAGAGATGAATACGAGGTAAATCTTAGGCTTGTAGAGTTTTCGTTTGACCTGGTAGGCGATTAGGTTATTCTATGTTGTATATACTATTTTGATTGCTGGAATTCTTAAAAAACAAGGATACTTATATCAATTAAAATTAGGTACATTTTCATTTATTTGTCAAAAGTATGACATCAATGATATTACAAATAAAAAGGTGTAGATATGTAATAAGCGCTCAGCAAGTGATACATTAAAATGTGGCTAACTATACAGACACACTTTTTCATATTTGTCTCTTTTTCACTCGCGATTATTGAATCATGCCATCCCACTTTGACGTCTTATCATACGAATTGTTGATGTGTGCATCAGTGTGCCGTTTTTGAAAATCGAATGCTGTTTATGTGACCTATCTACACCATTTTACTTATAATATCATTGTATGACATCGTTAGCTAAATAAATAAATACGCGGGCTTTTTCAAAGTCCTTATAACAATTTCACATTTCAAAAGAAACTAGTTATAAGCTTTAAAAATCCTTAATCTAAGACATCCAAGAACTTATTTCCTCATAAACCTATTCCACGAAGAGATAGGTTTAATATCTTTTCTTTTACTTTTTTCTCAATTCATTCCCGTTGGCTTTCAGCGAAGTAGACAATTACCGCTCGCGGCGCACCGATGCAATCAGCCGGAGAATCTACTCCTCACTCATCATGAAACTTATCGATATTGCCAAGGTAAAGTAAACCTAATTTCTATATCTAAATAAAGAAATATATTTTGTGACTACAAATACGTTTATGTGCAGTCAGTTACGTCATTTCATATGCAGGTAAGAAAATAAAGATGAAGTGTGGGAGAGCTATGCTTCGGCACGAATGGGTCGGCTCGACCGGAGTGATACCACAGCCTAACAGAAAACCGGCGTGAAACAACCACAGCGATGTGTTTCGCCGTGTGAGTGAGGCTACCGGAGGCCCAATCCTTGCCCTCTCCCAATCCCTAATCCCCAAAAGGTCGGCAACGCACTCGCAACTGCTCTGTTGGGGCGGGTGTACATGGGCGGCGTTGATTGCTTACTTAGATAATCCGTCGGCTCGTTTGCCGACTTATCACATAAAAAAAGCTATGGTTATTCTATAAATCCTTTTTAACGAAATCAAATGTTTTACAACTATTAGCCGGGTCAACAGCTATATTAAAGATTATACTGTGTATTTACTTACATACAAAACTCACAAAACGCTCCTCTTCACTTGTAACTAACCGAAACTTTAGAATTAGGTTGTAGGGCAGCACTTAGAAGGTTTCCCGAAATTCCTATGAGTACACGAAACGGGAACTTTAATCGTGTTCTAAGTTGCGTGTTAGCCATCTTGCTTTATGTATCTAAAAGATCCTTGACTTATCATAATAATCAGAGATTACTCTTTTTATACCGAGAAAGTATTAGAGTTAATCGCCATGGTTCCAAAAGCGGATTGGCGATTTCAAATTCATATTTGGAAAACAGTCCAGGTTTATTACAATGTTTCCAATGACGTCTAAATAAATTAAAAAAATACATATTACTCTGAAAAAGAAACTCGCCAGGTTTTGAACATTAAGTTAGGTCCATCAGTAGTGGTTACATTTTTTTTAGGTAGGGTTAGGTATAGGTATTTAAGGTTGTCATAAATTATTGCACTTACTTTTAAAAGCAAACATAACATGCATTATTATTTGAACTTTATAGACAAGACTTATTAAATTGATTTACCACTACAGCACGTCGATTCTATAAAATTTGTTTGATTTTGAATCGTGTTCGAGTGCGAAGTGAGCGTCGAAATGACGGGTAAATTAAATTTTAGAATGCCACTTTTAACGTCATTGCATACTTTATCTTTCAAAATGATGCTGTCAATTTTTCACAGCGGATTCAGATTCGAAGTTTAGAATGAAGTCTTACAGAATCACACTGCAGTTAGAATATGGAACATAGTATGTAAAAACAACAAAGGAGATAACGTGATAATCAAATTATCTACACAAAAAAAACATACTTACATATAAACATAATTATGTACAACTGAATTATTAAACCGTTATTATGTCAAATAACTACAATACTATAAATATCATTTGTAATCGAGTATGAGCAGAACTCTTCGTGTCTGCATATTGCTTACAAACAATGGCGTCGGGTAACAATGGCCGAATATTCAGCTAGACTTACTTCATACAAACGAATTGCTCATGAACAGCCATTTGTATGAAATACTGGTTATAACTTCATGCCTGTCCAACTCTGAATGAATCGGTATTCGTTTACAGTTTTTTTACATACTATGTATGTAAAAAAAACTGTAATTCTCTCTTCACTTCTCCCGCCCTTGGTGAAGCGAGAGGCAGTGCCAGACTCTTATTCACCTGCTGTTTCTTCTCCTGCTCTGTACCGGGCCCTAATACACTGCGCTTGCATTGCACTCCTTGCATCCTCGGCTGATTTGCATCTTCTGTGGTGATTTGGTGGCTCTTTTTTTCTATTTAAATGATAGTTCTTTATCTTTGAGTTCTCACTCCTCCTAAAAACAAAGAAACTGGAAAACTATAATAAAGTTAAAATTTTACACGGCTTTAGCTACTACATTTCTATTAATTTATTGTTTAAAATTAAATGCATGGGAACAAAGTGAGCTCATTTTTATTTAATTCGTATCAAACATTTTTCCGTTTCCATTAAGTGCTGCAATTTATACAAATCGAATAAAAACTATATTCGGTTGAAATCGGTTCATTAGGGATGAATTTTTTGTATTGTAATTGAATGGAATATATGTATTTCATTTTATTTAGGTCCAGTGGATATATCGACACTATTTTATTCTATAGAATTTTATAAAAGTTTTACTTTCTGACTGTTTTCAAACTCAAAACTACTGAATCTAAGCTAAGCGTGACCTAAGTATTATTAAACGGGTATCAAAGCGAAAAGTAATTATTTAAATACATTTTTTTTGTGATGGGAAAATCATCAAATGACTTCTCACATCCAGGGTAGTGCGGAAGGAAGTGTCAGGTTCTTACTGACTAAAATCCCCCCGTTCCTTCTCCTGCTCTGGGCCGAGGCCGCGGTGACTCATTGCGCTTACCCTGCAACCGCGGCTGAACATCAGCCCTATAGGGCCCGGTCTGAGGTGGTTTATTGGCTCTTTGAGGCGCGCGCGCGAGGAACGCTACTCGGCGTCCGCTCGGGTCTGGTTCGGTCGTTCCTTACTCTCCGTCCGCAGACCCACGCTTACGGTAACCGGAGATCGTCTAGGATTGGAAGACCGGGTTGCGCAGGTCGAGGTCGCAATCAGGCTCTGCTGTCTACTATTTCCTTTTCGCGTTTAATAATATGTTTATAATATAAAACGCGAAAATTAAAAAGTTAGTAAGTATGGCCTTTATTGGTTTGAGGATTTGGAAAATATCAATTAAAATATGTCATCAAAGCTAAACCATGCATTGAAGAAGCTCATTTGTATCAAACAAATTTTCTTTTACTTCTTAGGACCTACCCCGCAACACGACGGCTCAGAACCGCATCGACACAGCACACCGCTACTACATGTCAGTAGAGAGCAGGGACATGCACGACCAGATGGCTGATGTCCAGGTGTTCCATGCCTGCGCCAGGCTTTACGATATCTTGTTCACTGTGAGTATCACATCACGATAATGGATATTTTTAAGTGATAGAACGGCATACGAGCAAACAGATTGCCCGATGGTAAGCAATCAGCGCCACCCATGAACAACCGCAACACTGGAGGAGTTACGAGTGCGTTGCCCACCTTTCGGGGATTAGGCATTTGCAGATTTAGAGTTTGGGTAGGGATTAGGTGAGGAAATTCAGGGGAAATATCACCACACAAAAACATCAACAAGTATATATATGTATAACTAATTAAGTATTCCATAGCAGATATTTAAAACAGCCAAAACATTAGCCTCTATGAAAGTCGAAATTTATAGTTATTGTGTAGAACATGATAACATAAAATTATATCAAAAATTTTAGACATTTTAGGTGTTTGGACGATAATAAGTCCGAGGTGATTTCTCTATATGGTCACAAAAAATCTAATAAACATACTGAAGTCAAGTCGAAAGCCTTCATTATTGCACAGCCAATATTGAAACAGAAGTAATTATTTTAAACTTAATGTGTTCTAGGCCCCTAGGATCCTAGCTCAACTAGGAAAGCTAGACGACCTGACTCCAAGGATCTTGGTGAGGAAGCTGAAGGATATGGAGATCAAACCAGTGCATCTTGCAATAGCACTGCTCATACAGGTTAGTATGAAATATGATAAAACACATCTGTATTAGACTTACAGCATCGTGGGACCTCTCTTTCTTGGTCTTTTTGCAAATAGGATGTGTGTGATCGTGTTGAAAAATATTGTTTTACGAGGAGTGCCATGACTTACATAAGCCACTAAAGTAAAGGGTGTTCTTTATTCAGTAACAGTCTGACAACTCCTCTTGTCCTATCCCAGTCATCATCATCATCATCATCAGCCCATAAGTGCCCACTGCTGAGCAAAGGCCTCTTCACACAGGGAGAAATGTTTGAGCATTAACCACCACGCTTGCTCAATGCAGGTTGGCGATTTCGGCCTATCCCGGTCGGGAGAAGTAACTTAATGACATTTACTCCTCAAAACAAAATGATCAGAAATGTCTAAAATCCAATTCCCCCTCGCTTGTTGAACAGTCACACTTGAACCAATTAATCCAGTAATAAATATTATACCTCTAATTTTTATTCACAAAGAATCAGAGCATAATGAAATGTGCTGCATATCTATAGTGCTCAATGCTACCTGGATTTGCATCCGATGATTTATAGTACAAACACATTCCTAGAGTTCCCTCTGGCTATCCGACTATACCAACCAGGTCATCATAATAATATATTGCTCAAAGTATTAAGGCTACTGGAACTTGGATGAAATAGATTACCAAAGATACACCCTGCTAACTGAGAGTGAATGAATTGATTCGTATTGAGACAAACCAGCTACCGTCAAACAGTATATAGATAGTTACATTACTTTAAAATTATTAAAGAATTATATACATATTATTTAGTACATGCAACCCACCCCGGCTTAACACGGATGTGCATGTGATACTAAAGTTTCTCCCTTTTTTAATGGATTGTATTATATATAAACCTTCCTCTTCAATCACCCTATCTATAAAAAATCCGCATCAAAATCCGTGGCGTAGTTTTAAAAAATTAAGCATACATAGGGATATAGGGACTTTTTTTTGTGAGGGGAAAATCATCAAATGACTTCTCCCGCCCAGGGCCGGGCGGGAGGGAGTGTCAGACTCTTACTGACTAAAAACCCCCCTGTTCCTTCTTCTGCTCTGGGCCGAGGTCGCGTTGCCTCATTGCGCTTACCCCGCAACCCCGTAGGGATATAGAGACTGAAAAAGCGACTTTGTTATATACTATGTAGCGATATAATACTCCGGATTTCCAAGAGAAACATTTAAAACTGTTGAATGTTGTTCTACTTTTCCAGTACCATCTCCGCAACACAGTCAACTTCGCGATCAGATCCAAGTCTTTAGAAGTTCTGTCTACCAAGCCGCAGATGGTGGGTCCCCAAGTGATAGACATGTTGAAGGCACTCGCTTCCAAATTCCTGCCCATTGCTGAGCTGCTGGACATCCACCTGGCGCACTCCAGCCCAGCCTTCAAGGACACCTGTCCTAACACTTGGCTTGGAATTGTTAATAACAAACAGGCTTAAACTAAACATTTATTTTGATTCCAATTTGGTATATCGCCTTCTCTGTATATTGATAAACGAAATAAAATAAATTAATTGACATCAAATAAATTATTTTATTTTAGTTTTGTGGTTTTCGAAACAGAAATGAAAATGAAATTTAATTAATTAAAATTAATATTAAGTACTTTCTATTCTGTATAATAAGTAATAATAAGTTTTTTTTAGGGTGCATAAGGAATTCCTCAATGAGTAGATAATTGATTGAAGATCCACAAGTCTTAACTTGTAATGATTTAATTAAAACACATATGTACATAATTAGGTACTTATATGGAATTAACTCTCGTAAAATTTTCTTACAAAATCTTGAACGTTCTTGTTTTATTTCAACGTTCTATAATGTCCTAAAATATTGGTCAGAGATCAGTTCAGCTAATTTCTCGAGCACGTCTGCAGTCTGACACGAGATGTTTGCTGAGCCGTCGCCGCTGGCTCTCCAACTAATGAAGATACTAAAAGCCAGCACTACCCCAACAGAATTTTAAACCCTTAAGGCAATAAAACTTATTAAATTGTATTATAGCTTTGAAAAATTTAATTAAGTAATGAGAAACTTGATTCTGTCTGGTTTTTTTTGTCTATAAATATATACTTACATTATATAGGTATTATATAAAAAAAATATGTTCTTCAATGATTAATTCGCATCATCAGACTATTAACTACCCACTGCTAAGCAAAGGCCTCTTCTCACACCGAGAAAGTTTGAAAATTAATGCGATTTCAGACTTACAATCAGACGTTATAAGTCCGAGTCACGATTTTTTTTTCACTGTACGTTAAACACATACGTAACATACACGTGTCAAAATAATTATAACTCGGAAAAAATTAAACATTGGTACTTGCCAGATTGCTTTATATGCCTTGATGAATAATTTGAATAGTCAATGATTATTTACTTTTAAAATAAAGATAACATAAACAATTTTGTCATATCAGTAAACAACAATATTGAGAAACATAGTTCATTAGATCGACCTTTATCCTATTTTCCAGTAAGCTTATTTTCTGTACACATTTTCTGATACATGAAGATATTTATACATCAGTGTATGTATGTAGGTGGCGGACAATCAGACCGGTGTTGCGGCCGAAGGTTTTTATTAGACAACACAGATTTATCGACAGCCCACAGTACGCTGTAGGGCTACAAAAACCACGGGATTTCTAATAACTTTCATTGAACTGTTAAATTGTATAATTGATTATTATGTGGTAGTAGAAGAAAGCTGGGGTCAAACGTAATAATGTATCGCGGCGGATTTTAGTCAGAAAGAGTCTGACACTTCTTCTCGCCGCGGCCAGAATTCATTCAGAACAGGGCAAGTCATTTGATGATTTTCACACACAGTATTGTGGCGAGGCACGTAGTCGATCGACGACAATATTCAAATGATGACATCAGAGATCCTACGTTACACAATTGTAAATTAAATGAACCCAACTTAAAATATTAAACTTAGTTTTTGGTCAATAGTCTGTCATGCTGATCGCCTCCCGTAGTCCCGTAGTCCCGTAGTCCCGTAGCCTAAGATCGAAAAAGGATCCTCCTTTTTCAATCTTAGGGAAATTTCCTGTCTATCCTAAATTATGTTATAGGTATTTTTATTAATATTTATTCTGTATATTTATTTTAATGATGTATTCTGGATTGTTTACCGCGTCTAGGCAAACGCGTACCGTATGGATTAAATTAGAAACCGTGTGGCCAACGCCTAAAATCCTGTAGCCAGCATAATTTAAACGTAATGTTAATTAATTAAAATAATAAACATTCAACAACTTTGAAATTAATTTATTTTTACTTGCAATTTTGAACAACTTCCTTTCCCATAAAAAACTATATTAAAATGTAACTAAACTAGCGAGAACATCAAAACTGATTTCCTAACACCGCAGAGCGATAAAAGAAAATCAGTAAAATGTGTAGTGACGTCACTGCCCTACATAATGATATCGGCGCACGCGCATCGTTGGCCGTGATTTATGAACGCGCGGGATTTGTCCCCGCGACACTAATTCCCACATTTAATACATAATAAAACGTGAATATAGGACTCGTTGATTATTTTTTTATTTATATATTTTTTTATGAGACATTGTCCCAATTCGCTGACAATAAAAAAAATTGGTACAAATTCGTTGACGATGATTTTTTTACAACGTAGCACACCACTAGTGTCGACGTGTCGACGTGTAAACGTGTTGTTTCCGCAGTTATTCATATTTATTGGCCATTTCCAATAAATCCAACACGACATTATTACTTTTTAATACCTGTTACATAAATATTTTATCTATGCGAGCCTTCCGGAGTTTTTATAATTTGTATGTTTCTATTTGTGTTTATTGAAAGAAAATTTTAGATCGAAATGAAATTCTTTAGGATCGTCAAGACTGTAAGTGATGCATAGGCTCATGTTTATGTATTTTTGGACTATTTTCATTATTATGTCTAGTCTTAATTACACTAGAGGCAATAAACTTGTTGTTTGTATTTTTTTTTTAACTTTGCCCCACCCTAGGATTTTCTCCTGTGTCGTAGGTGTGGGACGAACACCTCACACCCAGACCCGGAACAACAATTTGTGGATCACACAAAATGTTGTTCCGTTCGGGAATCGAAACCGCGACACGTTGCGCGACAGCCAATCCCCTATAATATGAAAACAGGCCTGTTAAGCCTTTTGTAAATGAATATAATAGTATCATAACTTTCGAATACCACAACTCTATAAAATCAAGCTCACAATTCACTACGGTAAAATGCCTAAACACTCAGTGTTGCTATCATAATGTTTTTATTACATTATCTAATTTCCCATCATCAACGCGCCCTGTCCGGTGGATTTTTATACGCTGATGTGGCAACACTGATAATGTGACCCAAAAAGTTATACTCCTACGTATAGGGATACTTAACCGTTATGTATGGTTTTCAGCAAAAATACTAATGCTCAAACAAAAACTTTTTTGTATAAGATAACAGTAGATTATAATATATTTCTTTACATCCTCTTTGATGTCGCAGAGCTAATTAATATAAACACACACACACACACATTTAATAAAATGCCAGACAGCGTAACGCTCTTTTTTTTTAATTAAAATAACGTTGTCCCTCTCTAGGATTTTCTCCTGCGTCGTGAGTTCGTTTACAAAAATACAATTTCACATACATACATTTCAAACCCAGACCCGAAACTATAATTTGTGGATCATACGAAGAGTGTTCCGTACGAAAATCGAACTCGCGACACGTTGCAGTTTTAAACTACGATCTCATACCCCTTTCCATAGGAAATTAAATTTTAAAATCGTGAGACTGGTGACTGGTGTAAAATCTTGATGGCCACACAAAATATCGCTTACTTTATGTACGAGTAAGTGGAATAAGACGCTAAATCCAGCCTACCCCTTCCCACCATCATTTTGTATTCCTTCAATCCTTAAATTACTAATCCCATAAGGCCACGAACGCAAATCCAGATCATCAATCACCTGGTGTTGCAATGGAGGCGCCGATTGCCTACTATCAGGTAAACGTATCCTCTTTTTTTATCAAAAATCCACCAAATAAGTACTTAAAAGACAGACTGTTACAAAATATTTTGATTACAAAACTGCTATTGTGATGTAACTGGAATAAATTGCTTTAATTTTGACTCGACAACAATAACTTTTGACAACATTTAAAAGCAATTAAAGTGATAAAATGTTATTCCGTTTTGTCTTCAACTGTACACAAGTTTGAACAAATACCCCCTGTATTTGCAATGGCCAGCATCGCTCCTGTGTGCTCTGATAAAGAATTGTCAGCGCAGGAGGCGCTCGGAGGAAAGGTTTGGAGATATGGAGGTATGAAGGAAATGCAGAGGGCATTTCCTTCATACACTTGGACACTTAATCATTTTTGTGACCATCATTTAGTAGCGATTTTTATTTTTATGTTATAATGTCCGCTAACGAGCAGACGGATTACCTGATGGTAAGCAATCAGCGCTGCCCATGGAATGGAAGAGTTACGAGTGCGTTGACGACCTTTTAGGGTTTTGGAGATTTAGGGATCGGGGCAGGGGAAGGATTGGGCCTCCGGTAACCTCACTCACATGGCGAAACACAACGCTGTGGTTGCTTCACGCCGGTTTTCTGTGAATCGTGGTATCACTCCGGTCGAGCCGACTCATTCGTGCCGTAGCATGGCTCTCCCACACTTAGGTATTATAGAAAAAATGTTTTACAAATTGCATAGAAGACTGATGTACTATACTGTCTGATATTTCCCGAAGCGTGAGAAAGCCATGCTTTGTTACCACTGGATTGATACCACGGCTAAGCGTGAAATACGGTTTACGTTAGGCCATGCCAGGTCAGTGAGTTGAACGAAGGCCTAAACCAAAAGCACTAACAATGCTCTTTTAACGCCACAGTTGGTGTTCCGAATGTCTATCACCCGGTTTCTGAAAGGCTTGTCAACGCTAAAATTAACTAATCTCCTGTTAAATCTCTTGTCAAGTCATCTGATTGGTTTTTGACAATTCAGTCAACCAATCAGATGAGTTGACAAGAGATTAAATTGATTTTAACATTGATCGGCCTTTCGGAAACCGGGTGTAAGGGTGGAACCGATTGCTTAAATCAGTGGATGCGTCTATTTGTTTTTCCGCTATCCCATAAAAATGGATTATGCTCATTACTGAATGTGACATACTTACTGTTTTTTCACTGCCTCGACCTCAACAGTGGAGAAATTCAGTATTGGTATTACAGTTGTGCGATACCGATACATATAAACTTTTCTGCGATCACTGTATCCATTAAAAAACCACATCAAAATGCGTCGCGTAGTTTAACAGATGTATACATAGGGATATAGGAACAGATAAAGCGACTGTTTTTATACTATGAAGTGTTTTTTTTTTTTGTATGTTATAGGCAAACGAGCAGACGGATTT